TTTTTTTTTTTTTTTTTTTTTTTTGGCTACTCTTGAAAATAGACCGCTTCTTGAGCCTCTCATTTGTTTAATTCTCTCAAAAAAATCATGTCAAACTTCTGAAAAATCTTTCTCGCTCTCTTTCGCTCTTGCTCTCTCGCGCGCGCGCTCACTGTTGTTTTTATTTTAATAAATCGTAAAGCTATTTATCTCATTATTTTCTTTTTTCATATCGATTTCCTGTTTCGGAAAAATTTGATATCTTTTCTTCTCACAGTATATATATATATATATATTATATTATATTATATATATATAACTACGCACATGTCAACATTTTTTTTTTCTTTTGTTTAATCTCTCACAGGCTCTTTTTTTTTCTCTCATGTTTTCGATTATATTATATGCACGCATAAAACACACGCATACATATGCATACATTCCAACGCGCGCGCATGCACGTTCACATACAAACACACATATTCTTTTACACTTTTTTTTTTAATTTCCAATTTATATATCGTAGTAATCTTATTTTTTTTTCTTTTTCTTGTATACAAACTTATTGCCTAAACATATAATCTAAGATGTACTCTCTGTTCTCTCTTTTCTCTTTTTCTTTTTCATGATTACAAATACATGGCGATGGAGTATTTTAATACAGCTCGTTCTTTTTAATTTTGTGTGTGTGTATATATATATATATGTATATATATATATATATACATATATATATATATGGCTTTTATATATAATATTTTTAATACATCCTTATACATGAGGTCTCACAAATCCTGAATTTTTCATATTATTTGCTAAAACGTATGACTTTTAGCTAAAATTATGATGCGAAAAAATCGGTTGGAAGAAAAAATAGTTTTAATTGAATCAAATTTAGAAGATCATTAGAAAATTGTATGTGTCATATTCATGAGAAGAATAATTAAAAAATATATCAACGATAGAGATTTGTACGTCTATCCTATTTATATTTATATATCCTAAGTTTATAAAATACTTTATAGTCTATCTTATAAGCAGTAATGGATCGCCGAAACGCGTCGTCCTCCCAACGAATACGAAGCTTTCGATTTTTTTTCTTTTCACTTTTTCTTATAATAATATATCATATTCCTAATTATCTTAATATTGTTATGCTTCTAAATTTTCTTTCTTCATTTTACGTCACTGTAAATATATTCAACCGTTTATTAGGTATAATATTTAAGATTTATAGATACTTAATATTTAATGTTTAATATTTAAAGATATAAAATATTAATAAAAGAATTAAAAACGAAAGAATGACATCAATGATCTAATAGATTGAATAATACTTGTGGCAAGAAAGTATTGGCGAAGGGAATTGAAAGAAAATGGCACACTGAATAATACTAAATAAGGAAGAAGTTGAAAAAAACATATCAGGCAAGTCAGACAATTTGAACAAGTGTCAATTCTGTCCGAAACAATCACAGTCCGCAAGGATATTTCATATTCACGATACGGATAAATAAGAAAAAAAAGATTAAAAAACTAACTTTTAACGATTATTTGATTACAATATAATATATATGTATAA